CACCACTAGAAATAAGTCTACCGATCACAAAATTAACTCTATCACTACTACAAATAAGTCTACCACAATATTATAAATCTACCACTACTATAAATAAGTCTACCATCGCGCCAACCATCAATAAGTCTACCAACCACTTAATAAATCTACCACTCGTAAATAAATCTACCATCACATGAACGGTAGACTTATTCGTTTTTGGCGGAAAAATTTTGCTGCCTCATTAATGGCAGTTTCGTAAATACGTTTTTTGTCTTCAAAGAAAATAAGGCTAAAACGGGTATAATATTTATTTCAAAGTTTTTAAAGTAATATTCAAAGAAAAGTATCATTTTGGTCAAAAACCAACTTTCCAAGGTTGTTTTTGTAAAGCTCCCTAAAAAGTAACCCAAAATCAAGTAGTTGTTTTTTATCAAAAAAGAATGATCTATTTTGGTAGTTTTGTGGTGAAACAATCTATCTCCTGTTCCAAACATGACCAAAACGAAATGCAAGAAACTGATTAGTCTAAAATCTGTATTGTCCTCGAGTGAAGAAATATAGGTTCTTTACTTGGCCATAAACATAATTCCCCAATATCAATATTTAATTTGCAAGACCATTCAGCATTCATGGGGGGTGACTCAAAAACCTATTGAAAACAGAGGAAAAATATATCCAAGCTTTTAATATAAGTCATGAAATTTTATTAATAATTCAAAAAAATCATGTTTAACACCTCTATAATTTGGAGGCCATTAATAATGCAAAAAAAAAAAAAACAAATGAGGTAGAAATTTGGGACGTACCATTAGTTCCCCTTAAGGACATGGCTTCCTTTTGTAGAGGCACAAGTTTCACACTTCTTGAAAAGCAATTCAACTCAAATTTGAGTATCTATTTTGTCACTTTGCTCAGGATAGAATTGATGTATTATAAAAGGACAATTCACAATTTGTCTGTTTGGAAACATCTTCTGATATGAAGCCAAAGACAACAAGAGAAGATCACGAAGACATAAACATCTTTCCTTTTTTCTTTGGTTACTCTCTAACAAGATAAGACAGAAGACATAAGCATCGACCACATGCTTTACTGGTGGTGTAGAGAGCCAACAAAACGATGTACTGATGTATCAATGTCCAAAAGAATGAGAATCCGATGTTTATATGAGAAAGATACTTATTTTCATCGATTTTTCACTGTGAAAAACAGGGTAAACAAGGCAAGAAGCTGATCAAACTATTTCAGAGTAGTTCTTGTAGGTTTCAGAAATGGAGGACAAGCCAACAAAGAGAAGGGTAGTATTGGTTCCAACTCCAGCTCAAGGACATATAACTCCAATGATGCAACTTGCAAAAACCCTTCACTTGAAAGGTTTCTCAATCACGATTGCTCAAACCAAGTTCAATTACCTAAGCCCTTCAGATCGCTTCACTGATTTTCAGTTCGTCACCATTCAAGACAGCTTACCGGAGTCTGATTTCAAGAATCTGGGGCCAGTATTGTTTTTGATTAAGCTCAACAAAGAGTGTCAGGTGAGCTTCAAGAAGTGTTTGGGTCAGTTGTTGCTGCAACAAGGTAATGAGATAGCATGTGTCATCTACGATGGGTTAATGTACTTCGCTGAATCGGCAGCCCGAGAGTTTAAGCTTCCCAACGTTATTTTCAGCACTTCGAGTGCCACGGCTTTCGCTTGTCGTTCTGCCTTCAACAAACTCTATGAAAACGGAATTTTGGATCCCCTTAAAGGTACTATATAGTTCTCGTTTTCTGTAGTGTCACTAATCTTGTAACATAATAGGTTTTTGGCCCTTTTGCAGAACCAAGTGGTCGAGAAGACGAGCTTGTGCCAGAGTTTCATCCCCTTAGATACAAAGACTTTCCCACTTCACATTTTGCACCATTAGAAAGCATACTTGAGGTGTATAGGAATACATCAGACAAAAGAACAGCTTCCTCTGTGATAATTCAACACGGCGAGCTGTCTAGAGAGCTCATCTCTTTCGTGGCTGCAACGACTAGAAATCCCGGTGTATCCTATAGGCCCTCTTCACATGGTGGCCTCAGCTCCCACAAGTCTGATTGAAGAGAACAAAAGCTGTATGGAATGGTTGAACAAACAAAAGCAAAATTCACTTATATTCCCAAGCTTAGCATTGATGGAAATCGACGAGGTCATGGAAATGGCTTCAGGATTGGCTACTAGCAACCAGTACTTCTTGTGGGCGATCCGGCCAGGATCAATACATGGTTCGGAATGGATAGAGTTCTTGTCTGAAGAGTTTAGTAAGATGGTTTCAGACCGAGGTTACATTGTGAAATGGGCTCCACAAAAGGAAGTACTAGCTCATCCTGCAGTAGGAGGGTTTTGGAGCCATTGTGGATGGACTCGACACTAGAAAGCATCGGAGAAGGAGTGTGCAGGCCTTTTTCCAGCGATCAAAAGGTGAATGCGAGGTACTTGGAGTGTGTTGGAGAATTGGGATTCAAGAAGAGGGTGAGCTAAACAGAGGAGTGGTCGAGAGAGCTGTGAAGAGGTTAATGGTGGACGAAGAGGGAGAGGAGATGAGGAATAGAGCCGTTAGTTTAAAGGAGAAATTGAGAGCTTCTGTTAAAGATGGAGGTCCTTCACACAATTTGCTAGATGAATTTGTACACTTCATGAAGACTCTGTGAAAGAAATAAAGTTAGTGTCTATTTACGTCACCAAATTGCATATGCAAAATTTTATTAGTTAAAGTCAGACATGTTGGTCGAGAATAAAGAG